GTTGAATTGACAACTCAACTGCTAATACTTGAGAATATTCTTTGGCTCCCCTTGTGTCGAATCAATAAATTTAGGTTGAATACTCTACCCTCGAAAACTGTTGCGATCCCCTATACTTGTGGGTTATCAACAATCACCAATCCTTCTTCTCAATTCCCACATGCGCATGATCATGATCCTGATTTGGTCAACCATGTCATGCACAGGCAAGTTCTTTAACTGCTTTATCTTGTTGTAAAAACTTTCTGCCAAGTTACTGTTGATATGATCACACTTGATGGCAGTGTTAAATCCTGACCTGTACCACAATAGAGAATGATAGGTGTTCAACCATGGACCAAACTCACTGCATGCTACTTTTATCTTATCAAGATGATATTAATGTGTTTGTTTGGTGTAAGATCTTGCTGCTGGCCACATTCTCCCAAATTCTTCCCCTCTGAATTTTTTGATCAAATTCTTCCACATATGGCCGAAGCACTCCCTCTGCTCACAATGAGGAAAAACATTCTTCACTACATTTTCTAGCCCTTTACATGCATCTGTGTGTACTGCCAAAGGTGACACTGGCCCTATGCATCTTTTCAACTGCATCATGAACCATGTCCATGAAACCTCTGTCTCTAATTGAAACAAACCAATAGCAACATGGAACATCCAGTTGTGTCCATCTAAAGCATTGCATGCTGCCAATTGACCATTCCATTTGCCTTTCAAAAAAGATGAGTATGCGCAAATATGGATGGCCCCTGCTTTGAAGCCATCTATGCAAGGCTTTAAAGGCATAAATAACTTGGAGAAAAAAACTCTACGATCCTCTGTTACCTCAGTATCTATCTCCACAACACTGCTAGGTGACCTCTTTTCCACCTCTGCTTTGAAGTCATAAAGCATCCTAAAAGTATTTTCCCAATCACCATATAATTTCTTCATTGCCCTATGTTTTGCTTTCCACACTGTGGTATACTTCACCTTAATGGGGTACTACTTTTCCAAGTCCACTTTAAGTTTCTTTGCTGTAGTGTTTGGTTTCTTGGCTAAAATTGGAGTGATCTTTTCTGCAATCCAAAGCTGTGATGTCATGATTGATACTCTCTGTGAACTTGTAATACATGTATGTGGATTTGGGATTTGATTAACCCTAATGGTACTTCCATCAGGTTGAATTCTAGCAGATATGTACCACTTGCAAGGCGTGACGCTTCCATAGAAACCTCTGCACCTTGCATAAAATTTCTTTCTGTTAGTCCACATAGTCTTGGCATCAATCCCATGTTTGATTGCATAAGTCTTGATACACATCCTAAACTCCTTCATGCATTAGAACAACTTGCCTACTTCAATAACAGGATTTTCTTTGTGATACACACTTACAAGCTCATGATCATGTGCATCATCTACATCATCTGCAGCATCTTTCATCAGCTGTCCATCCACATCTTCACAAGCATCTATGTTAGCATTATTAGGAAAACTCGATTCATCCCTCTCTTCCTCATCTTGAGCATCTATTGGATCTACTGGAATGCCAATTTTTTTGGCCATCTCAGTGTCAGCCATGGGTGCAATGACCAAATCAGTAGTCTCTTCTTATTGTACTGAATTCCAATCAACACAAACACCCCTTGCAGCACCATCATAGCCCTCTTCTGCATCTTGCTCAGCCCCTCTATTACTGTCACTTCACCCATAAACATGGGCATTATCTGTCTCTGTGAATCCCAATCATCATCTACCATTTGCGAAGCCAACTTTGAGGGCACATATCCAACCTTAGAATTTGATTTCAGATCAACGAGCGCTGCATGAAAGGTTGTCTGTTTGCTTGCCCAGCCGTCTTGCCGATGGATTTCATCCACCATCTCTTCACCATTCTCAATTCTCGCATAATCACCCTTCCAATTATCAAACCGTAACAATGGTACCTCTTGCTCTGGACCCCAAAAAATGCTCTTCCCAATTTTCTCCACAACATTTCTCACGTCCCTCTCGTCCATGCTCTGTATTTCATGTGGATCAATCTCTGCAAGTTCAACCTCCCATTTCACAATTGTATCTCTCTCTATGTCTCGCACGCTACCATCGCCTAGCATTGCCTTAGAAGGAAAGAATTCGACAGTGAATTCGAATGTCCGAGCACCATCGCCCCTGTTTGTCAATGGCGGGCAGTGTGAGCTAGAACCCGAGCTAGCGGAAGCAGACGAGGCACAAATCGCATATCTTGGAAAGGATGCACATATCTAGTTGACATTGTTGTCTCTGGAAGCTCTATTGCGGTCAGCCTCCCTCCCCCGCACCCGAATCTGGATCAAATCGACGAAAAACAGAGGGAAACACAGGCGATGCGGTGAGATCTAACTCGACAAGGAAAGGAGCAGGACAAGGGTTCTGGATTCACTCACCACAACCGCCGCCGTCGCCGAGAATGAAAGCTCCGCCGCCGCTGTCACCGAGAAAAAAAGCTCCGGTGCTGTCGCCGGCTCACCGCCGAGAATGAAGGAGGGAGCAACGGGTCCAGTCTCACCTGATTTAGACAAGCACGGGGACGCGTCTCACCTGATGCACTGCCAAGTGGGGCCGTAACTAGATGCACTGTCAAGTGGGACCCACATGTCTTAAACATAACCTCAGTCCCGTTGACGACCAGTTTAATCGCCCGAGTGGGCCCCGGCTATTTGGGCTTCTGAAACGTTGCACCAGAGCTATTTTCATCAACCACGTCGCACTCCTTCCATTTCACCTCGAATGTGTCGCACAGGAGCTATTGGCCCGGCCTTATCTGGGCTTCATCATGGTACAACAACAGAGCAGAGAGCACATCCAGCCCCAGTCTTCTCCATCCCACCAGTTGCACTACAGACCGGCGAGGTAGTCTTCGGCGGGGTGACCTTCAGCGTGCACAAGGGCGATGGTGGGGTGGCCAGCACCGGGCCAGCACAGGCCGCCGCTGGCGGAGCAGTGGCCTTGATGCGCCAGGCCACCGCAGCCACCGGGGAGGGACCCCGCGATCTGCCACGCTCAGTGATACGGAGGATGCTCGCCGGCGCGCGTCTCCGAGCGGACACAGGTGAAGCAGCTTGACGCTGACCCTCAGCGGGGATGGCCGCCACGTCAGGCAGGATCTCCACCATGGAGAAGTCGATGCGGCGCCCGTAGTCTTCAAGCTCGAGCCCGTGGCGGCGTCCATCACGACCACCGCGCCTGTCGTCGCGCTCCCCTGGATCATCACGGCGCCGGTCATCTCCCGGATGGGTTGCCGGGCGAGAGCGACTACAGAAGAAACGGTCGCGCCAGGCACCTTCATCTTCACCACGGCGGCCGCGAGCGTCATGCCCACGGTCACGGTCCCCGTCCTCGTCGTCTCTGCGTTTGTGGTTGTCTTGGTGCGCCACCACAGGCTGCCTCCCTCGCAGTGCAGTCTCGCCGTCCATAACCTCGTAGTTTCCAAAAAAATAATATCGGTATTGTGTGGCCGCGAGAGGTGAAGTGGCCGTCGGCAGAGGGCGAGTAATATTCGGAGCGGTTGAGGTAGATGATCACGCGGTACGTGTGCCCCTTTCGCCCCCGCACAGCCGAGGCGGAGACCAAAACCTCGTTGCGGACAATCGTGACCCACATCACTCTTGGGATAGCCGAGGGGTTGGAGCACCAAGCCCACAGGTTCAGAGAGGCGGCGTCCTCGCGCTGCACAGTCGCCACGTCGAGGTAGTGGTTGATGCAACACCTTCCAATGATCTTCCCGACGAAGTCGGCGTCCCAGGCTTGCAAGGGCACCTCCGCCAAGCACAGGTGGACATGGTGACAGAAGGAGGCTGCGACGGCCCTAGTGAGCATAGACCAGTTGGCACAGTGGATGTCGAGCCCGTCGTGGCGGAAGCGGCTCGGCGCAGTGAGCTGGTCACGGCGGCGGGGCTAGTCAAACCGAACAAAGAAGTCTTCGAGGCGGTGGGGGACGACGCGAAAGAGATCCATGGGCACCCTGTAGTAGACGTGGATTGCCTAGTCAATGTCTGCGGTGCTGCCGCGGGGACGGCTGCCACCGAGCCAGACCAGGCCGCAAGGCTGGAGAGCCAAGCAGCCTGCGCATCCGTCGCCGGCGTGGAGGCCATGGCGACATAGCCCTCCGGAGACCTCGTGGCCGGATCTTCGAGCCGTGGCATGGTGGGACCAACGTTTTGGCAACCGAATCCCAAAAAAATACCGAGGGCGGGCGAGAAACGCGGATACCGCGATTACCGTAAAATTTCAAGCAAAAACCGCTCGTATTTTTTAAATGTAATTTGATTTCAAAATTTTCTGAGTTCAAAATTTTCAGACACTTCGATTTTTTTTTGTCGGTACGCAGCTTTCTCGTGGGGTAATCGAATACCGGGCGGTATCCGAATTTTCCACCGGTAACCAAAACCCCTGCCGGTCGCAACGACTGCAGACGATTGGGTCACGGCAGTCGACTACTTTGTGCCTTTGCTTCCAGCGGTAGCACTTAATCTTGTGCGGCTTCAAGGCCCAAGAGCACTTTAAAAACTGAGTAGCCCACTTTGCAACAGAGAAAGCAACACACGCTTGGCAATAAATGTAGCGGCACAAGAGAAAGCAACACACGCTTGGCAATAAATGTTGACAACATTCTCCATGTAACAGGATAACATATTATCGAACCAACATCAGTGAGACAGTGACTGGAGAGAGAAACGTTTGAACGTGGAAAATAACAATTGCGCAGTCTTGACGTTGGAAAAGGAGGAGCACGTGAACAGTCTTAAGCCTGTTCGGAGTCCCTCCACTCCGCCGCTCCACTCCGGGAGCAGGACGGAGCTACAGTTAAACAGTACGGAGCTGCAGTCTCTCCACTCCGCAACTCCTCGTATTTTGAGGAGCTGGTGGGTTGCCGAACACTGCCTTAGTGCACATTGGGGAAAATTGCTCTTAGGTTCTGGTTTCATTCCGGGTTGTAGCCCCATTAGGAAAGACAGCTTCATTTGAGCTTAGGCGGCTAGCTCTCAGCTCCGGGAACCTTCTGCCGAACCAATTGATTCCATCCTCTTACGCACCACTTCTGCTCCGAGCATCATCCAAATAACACATTAGTCTATCTTATAAACAAAGACTATATTTGCAATGTTATTTGAGGATATGTTTTTGGGTCATCTTTGAATACACAAGCGCAAGTGGAAAGAAATAGTAAGGTGCTGTTATTACATATTATCACTCTTTGGTAACACAAGTGGAGATATGTTTTAAGGATTTTTTTTAATCATGCATGTTATTCTTTCGTCCTCTGAGTGAAGTGAGATTCCATGCATGCTTATAAGGAAGTATGAATAATATACATGCTGTTACAATTTCCACATGGGTCAGTACCAAGGAAGAATTTATGGCTCACTAAGAAACGCCAATTTACCGTACTGGTAGCATAACAAGCTTCCAGAAACATTTGAGTGGCGGAGATGCAAATTTTCAGAAAGATTTTCTCCCAGAACACAGCAAAAGATTTCCATTTTTAATTAAATTGAGTTTCAAGTACAAAAGGAAAATGAGCCACGAAAGATCAACAAAGGCTACTCTCCTGGCATTGGGGTTACACAAGTGTCTTGGTGATCATAATTCTTTTTAATAAAAAACAATCTTCTTCATTTGAATATACCAACTGGCCTAATTTGGACGTGAAGTTATTAGAGGACGTTGAGTTGTACTCCCTCCGTTCCTAAATATTTGTCTTTTTGGAGATTTCAACAAGTGAATATATACGGAGCAAAATGAGTGAATTTGCACTCTAAAATATATCTATATACATTCGTATGTGGTAATCCATTTGAAATCTCTACAAAGACAAATATTTAGGAATTGAGGGATTACCTTGTACCGTCTCCTCGATTCTCTTCATTATACTAATCTGGAATCTCTGTCAGGAAATAACAGTACGAAAGATTAGAATGTTTGTAGAGTATATGTTAGTTTGATCAGCAGAAAAAAATTGAACAAGCAATTAGTAGATGACATTGTGGTTGCGTGTGCGTGCGCGCGCGCGTGTGTGTGTATGTGTGTGTGTGTACTTGGTTCGTGTAGATGTGGGTCAATTTTCTCCGATGATTAAAAATGAACAATAGAAATACAGTATTCTTTCTAAGCTGTTTCCATGTAGTCTCATGCAGCATATTTTTTTATCTCAAGCAAACGTTTTTTCCTGTGCAATAAAATAAGTCCTAAAGATTCTAAAAAAGGGAAGTCCTATCAATATGTAATCAGTTTGCAGTTATAAGAGTACTCTAGTGATATATCATTTCCTCTATTGTTTAACTACCTTGTATGGACAGTGTACAAGATTTTATCGATAGCCACTTACTATTCAACTCACATTAACTTACCAATCGAAAAACATCAAGTTAAATTATTTGAAAACACATTGTGGCGGCAATTTACCAGCACACAACTTTAAGGGAGGTGGTGTGGATTCAATCTGGCAAGTCTACAATCCATGGTACAAGCCAGTTGGTCCCAAGTACAGGTCATAGTTATATTATTAGAGTGGATTGTAAATAAAGAAGTGCAAAGTACATAGATATAAAGAGACACAAATGTGAAAGAAAACTACAACTGTTGAGCTTAAGAGAATGAGGGAAAAAATATAAACTTAATAAAAAAATAAGTGACATTATATTGTCAAATTGTGCATGGTTAAAAAGATGAGAAACAAGCCAATAGTTTCAATAATCGTGTACGTACAAGGTAACGAAATACTAGTTGCTTAAAGGTGTGAATTAGTAGTTACCTGAAGTTGAGATTCAATCGCTGCCTGTGTCATTAGTTCCAGTACGAACCATGTCAGTCTGGGCTTGTTAAGGTTCAAATTGATCTCTTTCTCAACTGCTAATCTCACATTCTGCATCTTTTTGTTGTCTTTGATGAAATAAAAACCAATATGACTAATTGAGGAGAGATTCTCTAAATCCAATAAGAAATCACCAAATTGAAGCAATGTGTCGTGTACATCATAAAAGCATAACCAAAGGGTTTGGAGACATTGCATGGCTCCTCGTGCAAATCTCAACTCCATGGTGTTACTCGTGAGATTGAAGCTTGTTAGACATGGAAATGGGCAACCACTGTCAATGACTAGCCGTTTATCTCTGCCGTGTGTAGGTTTCTCCACATGCATGTATAGTTCACTCAGAGATGGTATGCTCCCAAGAACTTGAAGGTCCTCGTCTCCTAGCGTTTTCACTGTTATACTTAGGGACACGAGGAAAGACATGGAGTACATACACCTTGGCACTGCGCCAGCTATGCTACCAAGCATGTGGACTAACAAAAGCTGTGTTAGTCGAATAAAGGTTGACGGCAGCTCTTCTGCTATTCTGGTGGACCTTATGTCTAGCACTTGCAGAAATTGTAGATTCCCGATCTCTTTCGGGATCTTAGTGATAGATGTACCCTTTAAACACAAATATCTTAGGTGAAACAAATTGCAGATATCCTTCCAATGGTTGTTGTCCACTTGCTCACAACCAGCTAAATCCAACACGCGTAAGACTGGAAAAACTAAAATTGCTGGCAACAAACTGAAAGTTGGACTAGACACAGTAAGTGACCTCACATAGGACAAGCTTATGGTTGGCAGCCTATTAGAAACTTCTTCAATGTTGGTCTGCATGGACAGTCGGCGGATCTTACCATGTGGATACACTGGATGCTGATCACCTACTGTTGTGAGGAAATTCTCCTCATTTGACAAGGAAGTGATGAGGTCACGCACCATATCGTGTACGCGACAAGAACACACCTTATTTGCATTATTAAAGTATACAGGTTGGACAAAACTTCTATTAATGAGCTCATCCAAGTAATCCCCTCCAACTTCATACAAGTTCCTCCCCTGTTCTTTTTTCACAAAACCTTCACCCACCCATTTCCAAATCAGTTGTTCTGTTTCAATCTCATAATCCTCAGGGTACATACTAAGATGCAGTAAACAAGTCTTTAGGTGTGGAGGTAGGCCAGAGTAACTTACAGATAATATTCTCCTCATGTTCTTCACATCATCATGACTATTGTCTAGCCCTGAACCAATGGATTTGTACACCTTGGACCAATACTCATGTGTATGTGCTCTTCCCTTTTTACTGGACAGCAAGCTACCTATCGTAAGGATAGCTAGGGGAACCCCCCCACATCTTTTTAAAATGCTCTTAGATACTTCCACCAGGTGATTACGTGGTGACTTGTTCTCCATCTCATATATTCTTTGATAGAACAACTTTCTTGAGTCGACAACGGAAAGAGGTCTCAGCCGATATGCACCACCAGCTTGCTGGGCAACATCAAGAACCCGAGTTGTTGTGATTACTCTACTTCCATATTCATTCTCAATCAGTGCAAACTTGATATTTTCCCAGACGGATTTATCCCATATGTCGTCAATTACAATCAAGTACCTTCAAATAATTCCAAAATACATATATTATAAGGCTATATAAGTTCTCATGCATTGAGCAGAATTGAGCTACGCAATAAAGTTTAACTAGAATTGGAAGTTCTGCACTACTGCAATTTCCTTGTGACGTGCTTGTACGAAACATTGAGGAACACATATTCGCATACGTACCTCTTGTTTTCTAGGAATGATCTTATCTCACTAATGAGCTGTTCTTCGCCCCATGATGCCTCATTAATGTTCTGGTACGTGTGCTTGTCAAGTTGATGGAGCAAGCTCTTGAAAATCCGCTTCAAGTTAGGATTAAGAGACACTGAAATAAAAGCCGCACAATCAAATTGCGGTTTTTGTGTTTGAATATCGACTTGCCCTTTCATCTTCTTATACACTGCATTGGCAAGGGTTGTCTTGCCTAATCCACCAAATCCAACAATAGAAACCACCTTGAGCTCTTTCTCAGAAACCTCATCTCCCTCCTTTAGCATATTGACTACCTCAAGGCTCTTCTCGTCAATGCCAACGAGTTCCGTGGCCTTTTTATACAAGGTTGATAGGCGAAGGGCATCAATAGTTGGACAAGTTGGCTTGGCAGGGGCCACACTGTCAACCTTGTACCTATCACGCTGCTCCCTGACCTCCTCGATGCGTCTCTTGATGTCTTTGATATCGATGCCGATCTTGTGCCGAATCTTGCCCTTGGTCAGCAGGCTGAGGCACTTATCAATGAAATCTCTGAAGTTGTGCAACTTCTCTGGTTGTCCATGGGTTTTGATGTGCACCATGAACTTGTCGATGTTATCTTCAAGGTCGTATGACAGGTCCCTCACATTCTTGGCCCAAAGCTTGATTTGGATGTCCGGTGGCTGGTCAATAGGCGCCTCAGAAATCTTAAGTAGAGCCGCCTGCATATGCTCCATCTCGGCCTTGAGGAACATGATCTCGCCTTTGACACCTTTGTGAAGGTTGTACTCCTTGGTGATCAGGTTGGCGAGCTTGGGCAGGAGGGTGCCCATCGCTCCGGTCACGACTGCGGCCATGCTTGACCGCACACGTTATCTCAGCCGGTTACTGGTGTTTGTGGAAGTTGGCGTTGGAGATGTACCTTGTGAAGTAGAGCAACCTAAAGAATGGCAGCATGATAAAAAATTAGTCAGGATGGTAGCTAATAAGTCGAAACCTTTGTAAGAAATCCAGGACAGGACAAACTTCCTTGGGACCAAACAAAAGGGAGAGTGAACCGATGGTGAAATTTTGGAAAACAATACCTGTAAATTAGGTACAGAGCAGATATGCTGCAAATCTGCATTTTATTTTCATGGCTGGTAAAAAATGAATCGTGGGAAAGCAATGATTCCAAGACATGTTGCTTTGCGTAGCAACATGACCGATCAATCCTGTGTATCATGATGGAACTTAACAGCATCCTAAACACGATTGCTCAAGGGGAAAAAGAAGAAGGCAATTACCTATCTACAGCAGCAGATCTGGAGGACGGGCACTCTTAACTTGGACTTGAGAACCGACCCCTAATATAGGCGTCGTATGAGCCAGAGGAGGGGCGCTAACCGGCCGCCGGCGAAGACCTCGACGGAGAAAGAGGTGGACGGCGTCGCGGAGGCGGACGCTGGATCTTGCACGGAGGGGAGGTGCAGAGTGAAGCAGCTGGCAGAGTAAGGTGAGCGCTCTCATGAGAATCTCATGGGGGGATTTGGGGGGGTGGGGAAGGCCGACATGGAGTAGTGGAGAGGCTGTTGAGAGCGGCTCTTTCCTTTTCTTAAGATTATATATATATATAGAGAGAGAGAGAGATTCCGTTTATTTTATCCAGCTCAGTTTTTGCGCGGAATGATCGCTCTATCTCGATGTATCTATCCATAAAATAGACCTTTGCGCCGTTGAGTGGAGTGAGGGACCAAGCTGCACTATTCTCTCCTTGGAGCAGTGAGGGTCACATGTGCACTCTACTTTATTGCGTTGCATGCATGCATGTTTGGGGTGTGAAAAGAACACCACCAGCAGCAATGTTGACACATGGGGCAGTTGGGGACGGTGATGTAAGAGTAATTTTATTGCCCTCCTTGTATTTAATTACGCGGAAACTACACGTCTTCTTGATGGATCAGAGTGACTGTGGTTAGATGCGTGTGTGTCTGTAAGCGTCCGTGTTTGTGCCGTGTTTCGTACAAATAAATATGAAAAACCGAGCTTAAAGCCTGTCTCCATGGTTTTCCATGTCTCAAATTTTGGCGCCGCGGACACTAATTAATAATCGAATGAGAGAAGAAGCGCCCAAGTCGAGCAAAGAGGCAAACTGAAGGTAGCTCATGTGATTAGATTTTTTGTGGTAGAATCAACCTATTAGGGCTCAAGTCTTGGACATGGCATTGATGGTCGCATTTTCCTGTATTTATTTCAAGGCTTCGGACAATGAGTGTCCATTTCTGTGCATACATATGAGTGTCTACGTCTGTACTGTGTTAAAAGAAAGTCGAATAAAGAGAGGGCACAACACCTGAGGCGGAGACAGCATGTAAAAAGGAAGCATTTCTCGTCGGGTAGTAGAGGATATTACTGCAAAACTAAAGGTAGGTGGATATTTTTTTCCGAAAAGGAAAATGTATAAAGCCTATGAGCAACTTCTTAAACAAATAAAATGATATTTTTTTTATGAAACTACATCAAAAACTAAAGCATATAAATTTAAAATTATATGTGAAATACCAAAATGTATTCCCTCCTATACATATTAATTGTCACTCATTTAGTATAAAAAATCGAGTACTAAATGAGCGACAACTAATTAATATGGATTCAGAAGGAATAAGATTTTCTTTTATTTTCTTTTTATAACTAGCAGGGTGGCACAAGCGAACAGTGAGTAGGCATGTGAGAGGAATCTCAACCATCCTTGTAAATTCGTGAAAACTACACGTCTTCGCAGATCAAAGTGACCAATGATTAAGGACTTCTCTAGCAGATCATTGAAAAAAAATCCCCTCCAAAACCAGTTATACAGAGTGTCCATGTAATTTAGACGAGTTTTCCAAGTGTGGTGCTTCAGCACGTCCTCTTTATGTCTTCCCCTAAAACCTTTTTTTAATTTTTCTTTTAACTAACATACAAATGGCATACAGATGGCCATTTTATAAATATAATAATTCAAATAATATTATTTCGGACACACATAATTAAACATAATTTATGAAGTTTGATTAAAAATTCAAATTCAAATTGAATCATAACAAATGCGGTAAATGATTCAAATTAGGCATAGCAAATGGTCCAAAAATAAGATCAAACATGCAACATATGGTTCACCTAAACAAGGACATCAAGAATGCAGCATAAGCAGGAAGATCAATCATAAACCATCACTCTTGACTTCCATTATATATATTGCAATTTTCAATTTTGGCCATCCATGCTACCATGTGCACTTGCACCCGCACCTCCCGGCATCTTCGATGCTAAAATTTACGCCTTCATCAACACAAGAAATTGAATGCAAGAAGTTACGAAAACATTTTTTTAATGTGTTTCCACAAGAAATTGACTCAAACATGGAAGAAAATCATCATCTAGGAGAAAACACCAAGTGGAGACCAAGCCAAGGCAAATGGAGTCGCCAAGATGGAAACCTAATTCAAAAACTAAAGCTAATAGGAAAAAATAATCCAAGAAATACAAAAAAGTAGATTTTTATTTTATATTTGTCTATTTATATACTTTGGTTCGAAAAGGACTTTTGCATCAAGGCTTTTGTTGCAGATCTTTTTGCGGTAAAGCTCTTGTTGCAGATGACGAGCAAGGCTTTTGTTGCATAGATAAGAGGGAAAACAATATTGCAACAAGACCATTGTTACATAGAGGCGAACGCAATACTCAGGTTGTTGCAAGATCTGATGGTTATATCTGCATCCATCATGCCTCCATCCGATGGTCTCGGAGGCGATCGATCTTTTAAAAAGATCTGCGACCGATGTGTAGCACCAACATAGTTTTGTGGGTGTCATGAGTACTACCGTGTGAATATATGAACATAGATTGTAAAAATACTTCAAGAATCCCCTGGCCGCCTCCCTGGGCGGCTTGGGAGAAGCCCAGTTCCTATCGCCACTAGCCTATCCTTTTTTGTTGAGAAAATGATCCATATCTATTATCAAAGTTCAGTGAAAGTACAAAAGCATCTCAAACATAATAAAAATTACATCGAGATTCTCAAACCACCGAACAATCACTCCCGTTGTTAGAACGAGCCGTCCATGCTCCACTGCCGACACTCTCCAACTGGAGCCAGCTTAACCTTGTCGATGACAATCGCGAAGTCTTCCTGCACATGCCCCTAAGGACTAGCGCACTGGATCCACATTCATCGTCGTTATAGAAACCTTGAATTGACAAAAAGTACCATACACCAAATCTCACCACACGACAAGAACCCTAACCTCACTGTCCCAAGGAGGCGGCAGGGATCTACGTTGGAGCTTCATCGACTACGCACAAATGGAGGAACTCGAGGAGGATCAGAGACCGTAAGATATACTCGAAGAAATAGTGTCGCCAATTACCCGAGCATCGCACCTACGACAACTAAAAAAACCCTAACCTAAACTACTAGTTAGAGCGGAGGCCTCGGGATTCCCCTCCCCTCCATTGGCTGCCGAAGTGGCAGGTAGAGGGAAGAGCAAATTCACGAATTCATCGGTGAAGTCTAGAGGGGTGAGTTTGCCCTAGCTGCCAAGGGATGGAGGAGGGAAAGAGAAACCCTAGTTATTTTTCGATTATGAATTGCATCTCCTGGTGTTTGCAATCTGGGTTTCGCCACCAGCCAACCAGCCTCTTCTCCAAGTCCCTCGTCGCCGCCAGATGACGTTGTCAGGCTAAGCCAGCGAGCCTCTTCTCCAGCCACTTTGAAATACACAAATATATTTATGATGGACAAGAACATTTGTTTTAAAATATATGAAAGGTTTCAAAGCCATCCTCAGAAAAAAAATGTTTACTCGTTGCACAAAATGGTTTTATTATTTCAGAAAGAAAAATCATGAGCACCGTAAACATTTTATCTAACATGTATAAACAAATACCGTAAAAAAATTGATACAAAAAGTCCTCAAATTTTGAAAGTAATTTTAATACTTATATCACTTCTGTCAGAGAGATTTTTGGAAATAATTTTAATATTGAAAAAGGAGATATCTATTTTTCAGAAATGAAATGAAAACACATAATACCATGTGCGGGGCTTTGAGGCAGAGCCTCTTCGTCCCGCTGATAGCAGGAAATAGAGCCTCTTCATCTCCCGCAGTCAGCATTTTAATTACCTCAAGGCTCTTCTTGTCTGTCCCAACGAGGTTGATTGCCTTTTTATACAAGGTTGATAGGCGAAGGGCATCAACAGTTTTTCTAGTTGGCTTGGTAACCACACTGTCAACCTTGTACCTATCACGACGCTCGCTGGCCTCCTTGATACGGCTCTTGATGTCGATCTTGTGGCGAATCTTGCCCTTGGTCAGTAGGCTGAGGCTCTTATCAATGAAATTCCTGAAGCTATGCGACTTCTGTGGTTCATGGGTTTCAATGCGCACAATGAACTTGTCGATGCTGTCTTCAAGGTCGTACAACAGGTCCCTCACAGCCTTTGCCCAAACCTTAACTTGGATATCTGGAGGATGGTCCATTGGTGCCTCAGAAACCATGATTAGAGCTTCCCGCATGCTCTCCATCTCGACTTAGAGGAACATGATCTCTCCCCTGACACCAACGCCCAACTGCAGCGTGCGGTGTTCATTGGGAGTGTGCCAGACCGGTGTGGGACTGAATCCAGGTAGTGGCTTGGATGGGACACCCGGCTTTAGATGTTAGGATTTGGTGCGATGTCTATTTGGTATTAGGCCCGGACATTCGGCACACCTTAATCAAGGGGATAGATGTAGCAACGGTGTTGACAAGATGGTGGCCTCGAGCTTATTGATGTATCACCTTGCATGGTCTTTATGAATAATTAATAATATGGCTGCATGCATCATCCAGATGC